GCCCTTTTCCAGCCCTTTTCCAGCCCTTTTCCAGCCCTTTTCCTGCCCTTTCCCAGCCCTTTCCCAGCCCTTTTCCTGCCCTTTCCCAGCCCTTTCCCAGCCCTTTTCCTGCCCTTTCCCAGCCCTTTCCCAGCCCTTTTCCAGCCCTTTTCCCATCCCTTTTCCAGCCCTTTTCCATTCCTCCCTGGAACCATTTCCCTTCCCATTTCCAGCCCTTTTCCTTCCCATTTCCAGCCCTTTTCCATTCCTCCCTGGAACCATTTCCCTTCCCATTTCCAGCCCTTTTCCAGCCCTTTTTCTCCCCGTTTCCTTCCTTTTCCCATCTCTTTCCCCCCTTTTCCTTCCCATTTCCTTTCCCATTTCCAGCCCTTTTCTGCCCCTTTTCCATTCCTCCCTGGAACCATTTCCCTTCCTTTTTCCAGCCCTTTTCGATCCCTTTTTCTCCCCGCTTCCATCCCTTTCCCATCTCTTTTCCACCCCTTTTCCTTCCCATTTCCATCCCTTTTCCAGGCGTTTTCCATCTCTTGTCCATCCCTCCCTGGATCCCTTTCCCATCCCTTTTCCTTCCCTTTTCCAGCCGTTTTCTGCTCCTTTTCCACCCTTTTTCTATGCCTTTCCCACCCCTTTCCCATCCCTTTTCCATCTCTTTTCCGTCTCTCCCTGGATTAATTTTCCTCCCCTTTTCCATCCTTTTTCCATCCCTTTTCCTTCCCGTTTCCCATCCCTTTTCCTTCCCTTTTCCAGCCATTTTCTGCCCCATTTCCATCCTTTTTCCAGCCCTTTTCCTTCCCTTTTCCAGCCGTTTTCTGCCCCATTTCCATCCTTTTTCCAGCCCTTTCCCACCCCTTTTCCTTCCCATCTCCATCCATTTTCCACCCTTTTTCTGCCCCTTTTCCGCCCCTTTTCCCATCTCTTTCCCAGTTGTTTTCCTTCCTTTTTCCATCCCTTTCCCATCCATTTTCCTTCCCTTTCCCACCCTTTTTCCATCCCATTTCCATCCCCCCATGGATCCTTTTCCAGGCCTTTCCCATCCCTTTTCCTCCCCTTTCCCATCATTTTTCCAGCCATTTTCTGTCATTTTTCCAGCCTTTTCCCACCCTTTTTCCCATCCCTTTTCCCACCCTTTTCCCCACCCCTCCCTGGATCCATTTTTCTTCCCTTTCCCAGCCCTTCCCGTGCCTGGGGTTGGAAATTCCCAATCCAAGCGTTTGATCGGGATGGGATCGGGATGGGATTAACCCTTCCCATGCCTGGGGGGTGTTGGGCAGAATGGGGATGGGGAAAATAATCTCGGGAAAGTTATTATTATTATTATTATTATTATTATTATTATTATTATTATTATTATTATTATTATTAAAGGGGACAGAAATGTGACCCTGGGGGGACAGAATTTTTCCCAGATCCCGAGGGAATAACCCCAAATTCCAGAAGATCGGGATCCTCCTTCCCAGATCCCGAGGGAATAACCCCAAATTCCAGAAGATCGGGACCCTCCTTCCCAGATCCCGAGGGAATAACCCCAAATTCCAGAAGATCGGGACCCTCCTTTCCCAGATCCCGAGGGAATAACCCCAAATTCCAGAAGATTCAGATCCTCCTTTCCCAACCCTCACAGGAAGATCTGGAGGTGATGCCGAGATCCAACAGGATCGGAACCCTCCTTTCCCAGATCCCGAGGGAAGAACCCCAAATTCCAGGGGATTGGGATCCTTCTCTCCCAGATCATGACGGAAGAACCCCAAATTCCAGAAGATCGGGATCCTCCTTTCCCAGATCCCGATGGAATTCCTGGGGGCGATGCCAAGGTCCCAGAGTATCGGGCTCCTCCTTTCCAGATCCCAAGGGAATAACCCCAACTTCCAGAAGATTGGAAGAAGATTCCCAACCCTCACAGAGAGAACTGGAGGCGAGGCCGAGATCCCAGAGGATCGGGACCCTCCTTTCCCAGATCCCGAGGGAAGAACCCCAAACTCCAGCGGATCGGGACCCTCCTCTCCCAGATCCCGAGGGAAGAACCCCAAACTCCAGCGGATCGGGACCCTCCTTTCCCAGATCCCGATGGAATTCCTGGGTACAAATCCAAGGTCCCAGGGGATCAGGACCCTCCTTTCCCAGATCCCGATGGAATTCCTGGGTACAAATCCGAGATCCCAGGGGATCGGGACCCTCCTTTCCCAGATCCCGATGGAATTCNCCAGATCCCGATGGAATTCCTGGGTACAAATCCGAGATCCCAGGGGATCGGGACCCTCCTTTCCCAGATCCCGATGGAATTCCTGGGTACAAATCTGAGATCCCAGCGGATCGGGACCTTCCCCTCCCAGATCCCGATGGAATTCCTGGGTACAAATCCAAGGTCCCAGGGGATCGGGACCCTCCCAGCCCCTGTCCCTCCCCACATCCCTCGGGAAGATCCCGGACAATCCCGAGCTTCCAGCAATCCTTTATTTCTCTCTCCAGGAGCTGAGCCCTTCCCGGCGGGACCCGGGCGCCCCGGGATGAGGAAGATGCAGAAATTCCTCCCTGGAATCACCAGGAAGCGCCCCCGGGCCTCCTCTCCGACGGATGTTTCTGGAATTCCACGGAATCTCACGCACGTGCAGCGGAAGGATCAGAAATCCATGGATTTGCCCGCTCTGGAAAGGTGACAGAACATCCCCAAAGTCCCCACTGCCACCTCCAGGACGATCCCCCCGTGTCCCACCCGTGTCCCACCCGTGTCCCACCCGTGTCCCCTGGAGGGGCTTTGGGTGCTGGCGGGGGGAAAATCCCATCCTGGAAGGGCGGGAATGGGAAAAGAGGGAAAAAGAGGGAAAATTTCCTTCCCTGCTGGGGTGGCGGTGACAGAGGTGACCCCCGGGGTATCCCGGGGAATTCCGGGAGTATCCCGGGACTGAGGGTGGTGGTGGGAAGGGGTGTGGAGGAAAGGATGGAGAAGTGTTGTCATATCCCAGATTTCCCCCAAGCGCCATGCCCGGAGTCCCGGTGAGGATGGGAACGGGGATCCCGGGGGATAATTGTCCCCAAAATTCCTCCCTGAGGGAAAAATCCCATCCCCAGAGTCCCAGTGAGGATGGAGATGGGGATCCAAGGGGAAAATATCCCGAAAAAAAACTCCCTGAGGGGAATAATTCCATCCCTGGAGCCTTGGGGAGGATGGAGACGGGGATCCCATGGGAAAATATCCCAGATTTTCCCTGAAGTGCCTTCCCAGGAGGAACAATTCCATCCCTGGAGCCTCGGGGAGGATGGAGACGGGGATCCCATGGGAAAATATCCCAGATTTTCCCCAAAATAACTTCTCAGGAGGAACAACTCTGTCCCCAGAGCTTTGGAGAGAACGGAAATGGGGATCCCAAGGGAAAATATCTCGGATTACCCCCCAAAAAAACACTCTGAGGGGAATAATTCCATCCCTGGAGCCTTGGGGAGGATGGAGACAGGGATCCCATGGGAAAATATCCCAGATTTTCCTCAAAATAACTTC